TCTAGTTCACCCATCTTCTTATTTAGACTTCTAGCATTTATGTACAAGCACTTTAAAAACTTGTCACTGTTTATTTGTCTGCCCTTTCCTGATGTGTCAGGTTTGTTTTTTATGTGAATGTTTCTCATCTGATCTGGCCCTTACATTATCCTCTCCCATCCTCTCCTCCTGACTAATACCTAGAGAATCTCTATCAATAGACTCTCCTCTAAGAGAAGTCTCTGTCCGATCCACGTGCTCCTCTGAAGCAGTCGGCTTTCCCCCATCTCTTAGTTTAAAAACTGCTCTGCAACCTTTTTAATGTTAAGCGCCAGCAGCCTGGATCCACTTTGGTTTAGGTGGAGCCCATCTCTCCTGTATAGGCTCCTCCCATCCCAAAAGTTTCCACAGTTCCTAATAAATCTAAACCCCTCCTCTCTACGCCATCGTCTCATCCACGCATTGAGACTCTGAAGCTCTGCCTGCCTACCTGGCCCTGCGCGAATTTAAACTCTAAGTTCAGGCATCATTTTTCTTACTTTGCCTATCTGTTAATTATGATTGTTATCTTAGGAGATATTTTTTTCATTGGTTTGTGTGTTTACAGTGAAATTGACGTTTACCAGCATTTGCTGATAAAAATCTAATCTTTCCAAGCAACCCAAAATAGGGATTTATAATGGGAAGTGTCAGGCAATCCTAATAGGTGGTGCTACCAGCCCTCCTATAATAGATTTACCTGCGATGGTAAATTTTGGATTTGGACCTGGATTTTGAGCTCCCAAGTTAGTTGTATTTCCATCTAGGGGCTTGTTTTGACCAGTAAGAGGGAGAATGAGTTTGGAATTTGAATCTGGGGTTTTGTTTCAGGCCAATCTCTAATTTATTATGCCTTGAAAATGGCTGCAAACAGTCTTTGGCAGTGCTAGAGAGAAGTGAAAGATGACCTTTGCTGTCACTTTCTCTCCAGCAAAGAGAGAGAGGCCTTCCTAACATCGAAGGGCATGAATGAGCCTTTGCTGAGGTTAGAATTCTGTATTTGCAAGCAGTCAGTCCATTACCATTTGCCTTGTAAGGTATATTGAGTAGATGAGATGCAGTATAAAGCCAAATTCTATTTGCTTTTAAACTTGGAAATCCCTTTGTGTCAAATATTACTGCAATCAGTGATAACCCTGTGAGGTTATCTTTTATAAGGTTGTTATCTCTAAATTTGATTTCTGTATTTCCTGTCCAGAAATGTGGCAGATGTCAAAATACAGCATTGTACCTAGGTTATATTTTAACAAAAGTAGATTATTAAGCAGTTTAGCGGTGTTACTAGTTACACCAAGTTGACATAGTAACACTTACATGGGCTCGAAGTGTATTAATGCAGGTTATATAGTAATTGGCCAGCAAGGGTATGGCCTGTTAAAACTTAGTCAAACAGGAAGAGTATGCACACAAACATTTACAGAAGTGAGTCGCAAATACCCTAGGCACTTCAGTGACTATGTCAAAGTGTTGGAAAGATGGTCTGATAATCTATTCAGATGAGTAACTGCTCTACACTTTATTAATTAAACCCTAAGGTATCTGATTATAATGTACAGCACTATCTTAAGTAAAACGGAGTCTGTTGGCTAAGCATTCAAAGCATAAAACAGTTTGATTAATAAGTGTTATCACACCTATAGGAGAGCAAGCATTTCTCATTATAATCTTGCAGTCCTATCTATGGGCATTACTCTGCACAAAACTATAGTCACCTCTATTCGTCATTCCTGTGCACAGCAATGCAGTAGTCAATCGTTCAGGGCAGAAAATGAATATTGTATGTATTTATGAGGCTCAGGGTGAATCAAATGGAAAGACTGGTCCTTTTAATACAGGAACTGGTATTTGGAGCCCCATCCTCTTGGGGGGGGGAAGTAGCTGGAGTGGAGAAGAGGCACAGAAATCTAGTTGATCTGCTCTCTGAGGGGAATGGAGACGGAGTGGTGTGGTCTGGCATTTGTAGTGTCTTCAGCTGCAGCTCCGTAGTAGAATTGAAGATGGCTGCAGACTGGACTTCGGGACTCTGTTAGTGTGTCTGATCCCTTGGCTTTACTTTGACTGTCCTTTTATGACAAAGGAATCCACAAAGTTTGATTTCGGGGCCCTGTCATTTTCAAGTGAAATTGTGACAGACTCATGAAATGTGTGTGGTTTTGCTTTCCTACCATGGCAATTGCCAGGGTGTTGTGAGCGAAGAGAAGTTGTGTCTTTGCGGCTGCTGCTGGTTTCACCTTTAGCCTTTTGTGATATCACAATACTCCCATGGGAAATCTTACAACCACGGAATGTAGTGCTGGAGGGAAATGTGTGGTCCCAGAACAATGTTTTCAAACCAGTAAAGTCAGTGGCCACCAGAAGTTCTCCACCCCCGTAACATTCAGCCTATTTATTTAGAGGCTTAGCTGTTGGCACCCAAATTTGAAAATGTTGGCCTTAGCACACTTATTCTCCCACAACTGTACCCTGGAGGGGATTATCTCATCAGCAGAAACGTTCATTGAGAAATGAGTCTTCGACAAAACCCTTGATGGTCATTCTAGTGCCATTGCACTGTCTGCTCTGTTTCAAACTTTATTGTTCTGTGGATCGCTTTGTGAGAGAGAGATGCTCTGAGACCCACTGCTCCCCATAGCAGCCAAAACATTTCATTCTGTATGTCAACGGGACCACAATGTGAGATCCAGTGGTCTGAAGCTAAAGCAGGACACGTTTAGCTCAGGTCATTGCTGCCTGTAATATCTCCTTTGTTCTGTCACATAAGCTGTCCTCCTCCCCTTGGAAACAGAGTGAAGAAGGAGAGAATGACTAAATCGTGCTCTGCCTTGAGAAACAGCAAAGTAAAGCCCATGGTTAAATACCTGAGGAACATGCCTCCAAGATTATCGCTCTCAGGGCATCGCAATTCAAGGCTGGGCATAAGTGGAGCCAGTTTACGTTCTGTTGATTGCAGACAGCCAGAAATCATGTTTGCAGCTCAACCACTGCCTAACTCCCTGGACTTGGCTTTGGGTTCCTGGAGCTCTAAGCGGCCATATGTTAGCAGAAAGAGGGAGGGAGGCAGAAGCCGGGCTGTACTTTGACAACCCGTCTGTCCACACAAACTACTTCGCCAGCGAAAATCCCAGCTCTGGCTTGTTTAATGATCAATTACCGCAAGTGGCAAGCTAATCAGTTACCAAGTCAGTGATTTTCTCTCTGACACTCTACTGCTTTCTCTGGGGCTGGGCAGGAAGCGTCGGGATGATGGGTGACAATTCCACCGCTGGATCAGTTACCCCTCTGCAGCCGTTCAATGTTGCTGACATTCTTGTCATCGTGGCTTATTTTGCCTTGAACGTGGCTGTGGGAATATGGGTAAGAGGGTTTTTTGTTTGTTTAATTTGCTGTTATGTACTTTAAATCTTCTCTCTCAGGACTGGCTTCTCAGGTGCCACCTGAAAGGATCGGGAGCCTTGTTTTTGAAATCCTCATTAGTTAATTGCTTTATTTTACTATTGCACCTTAGCAATGTGCCTTTCTGGACTTGAGCCTGCGAGGTGCTGCGGGTACTTAGCTTCCACTCACTCCATCCCAAAGGTTCCCAAAGTGCTTTGCAAACTAAGGCCCCGATCCTGAAATCGGGTCCACCCGCCTGGCTTGGATTGCAAGATAAGGGTCTACGCTCCTGATCCTGCAACCTAGTAGTTCTCAAACAATTAAAAAGGGATCCTTATGTGAGTAGGGGTTGCCAGATTGGGCCCCAGACCTCTCTGGTGGATCGCAGAAAGCTGCGGTTTGATTACCAGGGGTTGCTGAGCACCTTGATAATCAGCCTGCTCCTACGTATCCTGCGCCACAACAGGGTGGAGAGGGGAAATTTTGGCCCAGGGAAAGCTCCTACTCTTATTAAAAAATGTCTTGGCTTCTCAAATCTTCTCGGAGAGACCCCACCCCAGCAAACTGCAGAGAGCTCAGTTTATCTGCCTAGAAAGGACTGAGTCAGCCCAACTAGAATGTGAATCTTGCAGCTTTCAGAACATGTGAAAAAGGAGCATGCCTGGGAATATGTCTGCTGGGATCTGTTGCTCCTGGGACGTAACTGGAGGTGCTTATCTGGAAGAAGCCTGAGAGATTCTCAGATTTTTTCAGAGCATGACCCACTTTTTAGTACAGAATCGGTTTCATGGTCACCTCTCCTCCCATTCATAATTGTACAGACCCGCACCTTCCGTCCCTGGCATAGTGGAGCCTTTTATTTCAGGTGCTGCTAAGAGATCGATTGGGCTACCTGTCTAATCTTATTTCCAGTGTGCCCAGGACTATACTCAAAATACTACAACCAATATATAAAGCAAAGATACGTTAAACAGCCCCTGGACAGATTGCTTTTATGGTATTTTTTGCAGGTGTGGCCAGAGGGAGTCAGTCCAATAGATCCTGCTTTAACAGATATAGAGGCATTTGCAAAGGTTTTTACCGCCCCTACATAATCCTTAACGGGAAATCATTCTTTCTATTTTTATGATGCTAATTGCTCAGCGAGACACGAGTAGAGGCCAAGTTAGAGCAGAACAGTGTCTCCTACATGGGAAGAAATTGAGCAGCCTGTTCTACCTGTCTGGGGTCTGGTATGTTCGTTCATCAATCCACACACACCCGTGTCCTCAGTAGGAGGATCTATGGCTTACGAAAGCACATCCCTCTCCCACTTGAGCTAAAGGAGAAGCTCTATTAGTTGTGGTAGTATTAGGGGCCTGCTCAAACATCCATTTCAGTCCATAGGAGGACTCCTGTTGGCTTCCCGGGTTGTTGAATCAAACCTCAGCGTAGGCAGGGTCCTCCGCTTCTGTTGGCCTCCAGCCATTGGATGCGAGTAAGTCTGAGTCCATCCATTGTAGGATGGTGGTACATCCAGGCCAAGCCTTTCTGCTCCGCACTGAGGCCGAATATGACAATCCTCTACGAGTCCATGGCCACTCTTGCCTGATTGGCTCTATCCTGCTCAGGGAGCTGCTACAGGCGTCGTATAATCGTATGGCCTAGTAGCTAGTGCACTTGACTTGGACTCAGGAGACCTGGGTTCTAGCGCAGGCCTGCTGGGAGACTTGGGCAAGTTTTTTCGCCTCAGCTTTACCATCTATAAAATAGGGATAATGATGCGGCCCTCATGTGTAAAGCTCTTTGCAATGTACTTACGAATAGCTCTAGATAAGAGCTAGGTGGTGGTGTTTATAATCATCCCTCAGTCACATGGCTCTTGCTAGCCATCCAAAGGCTCCTGGTTGCTCTCCAGGATGGGTTTACGGGAGCAGGGCTGCTTTCTTTCCATGCTGATCTCCGTTTCCTCTCAGTCCTCATGCAGGGTGAATAGGAATACGCTCAGTGGCTACTTCCTTGCTGGCAGGAGCATGGCGTGGTGGCCTGTAAGTAGATGCCATCTCTCTCTCTCTCTCTCTCTGGCTTCTCTTCTGTCTCTTTATGCAGGACAGTCCCCAGCAGTCGGGTCTCACACTTGGACCTCTGTTGCAGAGCCATTGCCCCTATGAAAAGGAGGGAAGCGGGGTCTCCGGAGCAGTGGTGGCCCATGCTGTATCTACCCACCTCCAGTGCCCAGGGAGATGGAGCTAATATTATCACTCTTCCTATATCAGGGAGTTGCAATTTTCTGCTGGGTGTAGCTGCCTCCGTACCTGGCTTGCCACATGGGGTACCTCTTGTAATACACTCAGTTCAAACACCTTGCAATAAATCAACAGACATCTCAGATCATGCCCCATAATGCATAACACAGGAACACACTGGATTCCCACCAGGAGGCAGCCAGCATCTACTCGCCCCTGCCTGACTTGGAGCTATGTCTCATTTCTCCAGTGATGGGGTCCCTCTTCGCTGCTACCCCTCGGAAGATCTGTGATCTGTTGGGTCCTGCTAACCAGGACTCAGACCCCAGATCAATGGGATCTGTGCTTAACCTACCACTGCTCAGAAGGTTTACGGGCATCCAAGCCCTGTGGTCTCCTAGGAGATTTCCCTGTAGGCCAGTCTAAGCTTGGGTAGGGGCATTTGGAGCAGCAGGATCTGAATTCTGTCCCCGCTTTTGCCAAGCAGCCGTGCCCGGTTATGACGGCAGCGTGGTAACTCCCACAAAGTCCTAGGTGGCCCCAGATTTGTTACAACCAATATATTCCTTCCGCATTTCGTTCTTGTCTAGAAACGCAGGATGGCTGATCCTCTCCCCGTACCCTTTCCTTACAGCTCAGGTCTGGGCAGCGTACCCCGGTAATGACATTTCTGCACTGTGGCAAATGCAATGACGTGTGATTCTCTGACAAGTGTTTGCATGAGGAAAGGAAGCCCTGGGCTCCCACATGCCTCCCAACAGCAAGAAATTCTGTTAGCGGCCTTGCGAGTGAGCTCAGGATTAGCTGAGTGTGCACGTCTCAGGGCGCCTCTTCTAGCCCCCGGTCCCTTTAAAACTGGAAGCTGTAATTGCGCCTCACAGGCCTGCTGACTACAGGAAATCATACAAGTCTTCCTGGCTCTGGGGCAGTAGACCCTGAGGGGCAATGAGATTCTTTGAGTGGCGGTGTGTTGTTTTGGATCCTTGCTTCTGAGGCAGTAGAGCAAAGCCCTCAGCAAAGGAGCTGGAATGGTGCCCTTGTTCGGAGCATGGCTTTGCCTTCTTTGGCTGGTGGATCAGCCCCACCAGCTTATGTGGAGATGCCTGGTGGCCAAGCTGGCTCCTTGCAGTTTGCCAGGCGCTGCAGCCTGCTCTGTGCCATCCAGGTGAGCCCTGTTTGAAACCCGTTCGGCTAACACGGTTCCGTTGGCGGCGTAGACGGAGCTTGCTGTTTCTGATTTTAGGGGATTAATATTCTTGTGGATATAATATGGGTTACAGGCTTGCCAGTTGATCTGAGCAGAAGATAATAAGGTTCTTGTCCCAGAATCAGGCTACACAGAGTTTTGCAAGGACTCTCGGGATGTATGACTCAACTGAGAACAAAATACAGCCTCAGAGACTTTGATGGAGATAAATGGAATAATGATCAAATGGAAAAGTAATCAGTCAGAATGACAAAGGAAATAATATTGTCCCAGAGGTACATGTGGTATTATACACCATAAAACTTCCTAGATTAACACACTCACACCCACCCTTGGTACCCTGGTGGTAAGAGACAAAGGACCAGCCTCGCCTCTGGGATGCCAAGAGAGTCCGATGGGCCAGGTTCCTCAAGTCTCGATTGGGAGGTGCAGAACTAAGGAGAAGCTAGAGAGCTGAAAAGCTATTGAAAGACTATAGAAGTTAAAACTAACCAACTAACATACATGGTGGTTTGCCCATCTTATTGAGCCTGACCACTGTGCCCACCTTCCATGTCCAAACTTAATTTCCTCACCCACAAAATATCAGGGTACGCTTACCCTCTAGGCTGGCATGTTCATACCTATTCATGACCATTAGCTAGCTCATTCTCACATCTCTTATTTCTGACTAACCATGTTATTTCCATGTTCTTTGGGGTGTACCTGTTGAGTTTAAAGAGGGCATAACTTAGGTAGTCATCTATCTATGCCAAAGGTCTAACTTGCTTTAACTCATCCTCACTTACCTAGGCTAAAGGCCCCGAACATATGAATGCTAACTTGCTTTAGCTCAACATACAGGATGTGACCTGTAGGATCCTTGTGGTACGGCCAAGAATGCTCTAGTCCAAATCTATAAATCTATTAAAAGAAACACTCAAGCCCATAAGAGAAGATATATAAGCAAGCAACCAGGCTCACCCTAGGGGATACATAGCAAAGACGTCAATGCCTAGCTAAGCTGTGCGTGCTAATGCACCTCCTTGCTTTTGGCCTGCAGATTGGAGCCTCCCTTTTTGCCAGCAGTGAAGGATCAGGGCTCTTTATTGGACTGGCTGGGACTGGAGCTGCTGGGGGAATTGCCGTCGCTGGCTTTGAATGGAATGTGAGTCACTTTGCCTTATTACGCTAATCGGTCACTGGAGCCACCTGGGACAGACAAAGCCTTACCCACCTAATTGGGCATTTGCCCATAACCCCATTAGGGCTGATGGGGAAAATATGTGTAACCCATGCTAAGCTCTCGGTATCCCTCTATAGGTGGGGCCACATATAGATGTTTAGGAGCCTGCTGAGGTACCTGGTGCCTTAGTTCATGCCCTGGTAGCCCGTGCTTCCGGATCCAGAGATCCCAAGTCCAACCCCGGCAGACATCCCGACTGGGGATATTATGGCAAATTGATAGCCCAGAAAAAGGCTCCCTGGTTTTCCAAGCATTTCTCCACTAGGGGGTTGGGCTCTGCATTAACGTAAGGCCTTAAGGAGTTAACATGAAATCTCTGGTAACCTGTGGAGTCAGAAATGCCAGGTGCTAAGTGCTGAGATGGGGAGTGTCCATAGGGGAGTTCTGTATCCCACCCTCAGACACACCCATGCTCCACAGAGCCCGTGGAGATCTGAGTGTGCATCTCGAGGTGGGGCTGGGCCCAGCTCGGGCCTCCTGCATGGGACCCAGTGACGTTGCTAATGTTAAGCTGGAGGCCCGACAGAACAGTGATTGATCAGACTCTGCTGTGCCCCTGCTTCTCCATAGGCTACCTATGTCCTGCTGGCGTTGGCCTGGGTGTTTGTACCAGTCTACATCTCCTCGGGGGTAAGTACAGTCGGAGTATACCGGACACAGCCGGACAGCCCCACTTTCATAGCCATTACCAGATACTGTCACTGGCTGGCTGCGACTCAGGGCAGGATCTGTGTGAACCCTAACCCTGGGTGAACTCTGCTCTCTTTGCCTGAGCCGGTGGGAAATAGACCCCACCAGCCTGCAGGATGGGGTCCATGACACACACCTGGGCAGTTCTGGTTCCGCCCAGGAGAGAGCAGTGGGGTATGTGCGTGCACACAAGTGGCACAGCTCATTTTTTGCAAACGCTGATTCCTCCCTGAGGTGGTGATATTAGCCATGTTCCTATTTCTGATCATATTGATATTAACAATGACTTTGTGGCGTTGCCGTGGTGCCTGCATTGAAATCAGGCCTCCCACTCGTAAGCCGAGCTCAGTTCTTAACTCACTGGTTAATTTTAGGATCTTAGAGGCTGAGGGGTTTTATAGCTTTAGCAAGGGGTATAAGACGCCAGACAGACTGGCTTTGTGCAGGGCCCTACGAGAAGCCAGAGGGATGGAGTCCTAGCGAGCTCCTCCCTGCCTAGGACCAAGCCTCTCTCCTAGCCACATAGCCTGCCTGCTGGTGCCCTTTGGAGTGCAGAGTGTGCCTGCGTGCTGGGTGGCATGTACCCTTTGTGGAGGCAAAAGCTGTGTTTGCCTGAGGGTGCCAAGCTCTTCACAAAGCCCCTTCCTCCCCTGGGTTAAGAGGGAGTGCAGCCATAATTCCTGGGCTCTGTTCAAGCTCCCATTAGCCCTCCCGGTACTTTCCCGTTCTGACTTGGGCTGCAGCTGCCTGTGGCAGGGGCTGCCGTGCCGTGCAGTGACCCCTGCGTCTCTGCCGCTCAGATCGTCACCATGCCGGAGTATCTCCAGAGACGGTTCGGAGGGGAGAGAATCCGGATGTACCTCTCCGCCCTGTCACTCCTGCTCTCCGTCTTCACCAAAATATCGGTGAGTAGCCAGGACTCTGTATGGCACTGAGGGCTTTGAAACACCGTGTCCCAGAGGGCATCTGTCTGGCGCTCTCTGCCACTGAACACCTGGGCAAAAGCCATGCAAACAATCAAACCCGTCCGGGCGGGGGCTTGGCTGCTGTGATGGCGTTTAGGGATTTGATTTCCAGCAAGTGGAGACTTAACTTGGTACTCAGGCCCTAGAGGGTGGGAGAACTGAGGGAGAGCAGGACTCTGGGAGCAGGGCCGTCTCTAACTTTTTTGCCGCCCCAAGCAAAAAAAAAAGAGCGCCGCCCTGCTGTAACACCCCCCCCCGCGAGCGCCGCGCCACCTGAAGCCCCGCCCCCCGAGCTCCGCGCTGCCCGAAGCCCCGCCGCACTGCCCAAGCCCCCGCCTCCCCCGAACGCCACGCCACCCAAACCCCCGCTCCGAGCACCGCCCGGTGGAAACAAAAACAAACAAACAAACCCCTCCAGCGTTGCTCCACCGAACCAAAAAAAAAAAACACCCGAGCGCCGCCCCGCCCCAAGGTGCCGCCCCAAGGTGCCGCCCCAAGCACGTGCTTGGTCGGCTGGTGCCTGGAGCCGGCCCTGTCTGGGAGGGAGCCCAGGGGATGCTATAAAACAGTGGTTCTCAAACTTTTGTACTGGTGACCCCTTTCACACAACAAGCCTCTGAGTGCGACCCCCCCCCCTTATAAATTAAAAACACTTTTTAACATATTTAACACCATTATAAATGCTGGAGGCAAAGTGGGGTTTGGGATGGAGACTGACAGCTCGCGACCCCCCATGCAATAACCTCGTGACCCCCTGAGGGGTCCTGACCCCCAGTTTGAGACCCCCTGCTATAAAAGCAGCTGTTGGAGGTCATGGAGGAGGCGGAGCTGAGCACACAGGAGTTAGAAGAGTTGGGAACCAATGAGGGGTTGTCTGTACGCCAACAGCTAGGCCAAGTCTACACTAAACAGTTAAGTTGATCCCGCTGGCGTAGACAGCGCTAGGTTGATGGGAGAATTCTAGCTACTGCATCTCGGAGAGACACGTTAACTGCTGGGAGAACCCTTCCCGTCACTGCAGTGAGTGGCTACCCTGAGTGATGGGATGAACAGAATGATTGGGTTAGCGGCTGAGGAGTTGTTCTACCTCCAGCTGCTGTGTCCCCACTGCATCACTAGCTCTAGAGCAGAAGTTCCCAAACTTTTCTTGTTGCGTACCCCCTTCCAAATCTACCAGCGGCCCATGTACCCCTACCCCTCTCATCACTGATCCTTTGTATGTTCTTCTTCAAGGGGAGGGATAGCTCAGTGGTTTGAGCGTTGGCCTGCTAAACCCAGGGTTGTGAGCTCAATCCTTGAGGGGGCTGTTTAGGGATCTGGGGGGAAAAAATCTGTCTGGGGATTAGTCCTCCTTTGAGCAGGGGGTTGGACTAGATGACCTCATGAGGTCCCTTCCAACCCTGATATTCTATGATTCTTCACACTTCCTGGCTTTAGCCATCTGTCCATATTTCACTGTTATGTACGTACAGATACAGTGATAGTGCGCTGTGTATATTATCAACCCCCTCCCTAAGTTCTGAGCTCAGATTGGACAGGTGCTGGGCACCTGAACCCACGGTGATTGGAGGGGAGGGCTTCATACGTCCGTGTCTCTGTGTTCTCATTGGTACATCCTGAAGTAAATTAACTACTGTATTTTATATAACAAATTCCCACAGAATTGTAAAGCATCATCTGAGTCGCCTATTATGAAAATACAATAAATAAAATAATAAACCCACCATTACACAATTTCTCCCGCAAACCCCCCAGAGATGTCTCACGTGCCCTCGGCGGGACATGTGCCACAGTTTGGTAACCATGAATCTAGAGTCAGCAGCACTCAGTTTCAGTCCATCCCTCAGGGACCAGCTAGCTCGAGCTCAAAGCACCACTTAACATGAGCTAGAGATTTTTGTGTGTGGACAGAATTCGGGTTGGGGCAACACTCGCGTCATACTTAGTGACGACCAGCCCTTAGAAGACGCTCAGTCCTAATAACTAGGACGTTTGGTACTTCGTCTTCCAAATGAGAGGCACATTTGCGATGATGTGGAGAGATTGATGGACAGAGATTAGGATCCCGAACCCACAACATGCTCAGCGCTAACTGGCCCATTCTTGGCAGCTTCAGCAAAGAGGGAAATGGGACTGAGGAACTGAATTCCCCTCTCCCTCGCCTGTCACTTCTCAAGCAGTGACGCTTCCCGCTCATCTTGTGGAAAAATGTAGCTGTGAACGTCAAATGCAGTAGGGAAGAAACCAACAGGGCTCAGTGGGAATTAAGCTAAAGACCTGTAGAGTTTAATTAAGAACAAGATCCTTGCCCTGGGGTTTTGGAATCATCCCATAAAATGGAGTTGCAGGGAGAGGTAGCTTTATTGCATTCCAGTGGATGGTCCAAACACCTGCACGAAGTGTCTGATTCCCACAGGGTATAGCTGAGTCCTGTCCTTATTCAGGGTTTCTAGAGGTTTCTAGACTCACACAGAACTTCTCTCTTCACTCTCCTGAGCTGCTTGGTGTGTCGTGAGTTTCTTGGGTGTAAATTGACCTGTAATCCGATGACACCAGCTTGGAGCATCACACCCAGGGGCCAGGCCCAAGGTGCAGAGTAGAGTTGCCTGTTTTGGTTGGATGTATTCCTGGAGGTTTCATCACATGACATGATCTTTAATGAAAGATTAATCTTTAATTCCTGGAGACTCCAGGTCGATCCTGGAAGGTTGGCAACCCTACTGCAGAGTGACCTGGGACTGCAGGCAGCAAGGGGGGGACTTAGATCTGAGCCACATCAATCCTGCACCCCCCAGAGAGGAAAGAAATAGCTCAGGTGCAGAATGGAGGAAGAAATGTGCTCTAGGGCAGTGGTTCCCAAAGTGGGGTTCGCGAAATGTTACAGGGGATTCTCGGGGGAAAAAAATTCCCTAATGGCGGACAGAGCTTTCCCTAGGGACCGCGGGCAGCACGGGACCAGCAGCCTCCCGGAGCCCCTGGACTTCCAAGAGCGAAGCAAATCAAAGCCAGCATCTCTATCACACTGAGGAGATTTAAACTTCAAGACTCCTTCTAAGAAATGGAAAGGGAAGTGGATATCTTTTGCTGTTTTAAAAATGAAATAGGCAGCTAGTCTTGTTTTTAAAATTATGATGAACAAGTTTAAGCTTTGTTGTAACGTGCGTTGTTTGCCTGGACTGCTCAAGACCTGAATGTTTGTGTAGGAGGAACTCTTTGAGTTGGCTTCTTAAATATCTTCATGCTGTTTCACATCTGATACTTCTTGATGAAACCTAGGAGCCTGGTCTTATAACAGGCTTATTCAAAGTGATACAGGCTACGAAAGTGAGATCCTGGAAGAGTGTGGCCATTTTCATAATGTAACAAAAACACTATAATGATAAATAATAATAAATAGTGTAAAAAGAATGTCAGAAAAACAAATTGTTTATTTCCAAGATCACGGCTTTTATCATTTATACTCCGGTAAAGGAGAAAATCCCTGGAAATATTCATTTTTAGGAGGG